ATAAAAATATTTAAACAAAAATATTTAATTTCGCGTTAATTTATTAAAGAATATTTTTTAGATATAATAAGCAATTATAATTTATAAACTAAATAATCACAATTAAAAATACTAAAAGATACACTTTAAAACTAAAGTCAAGTACTGAGAAATAATTTAATGTCTATTAACCAAAAATAGTCCGAGATTTAGGTTTAGCAGTTGTTGTTTGATTGTTTCTGATGGGATCTTGGTTAGTTTATCAGTCAATAGGAACCGATCGTCATAATCAACAGATGTTATATCATAAGTGTTTGTAAATGGCTTTAATTCTGCTGAAGACATCTGAAGAGCCGATTTGGTCAACTCATCCGTACTCTCACATAATTGAAAGTATAGAGTGGGACCGTCGGGTGCTATGGGATGGTTATCAATGGGACACAATAGCGCTGACATGTCTTTTCGTATTCTACAGAATAGATTCAATACAATGAAAATACAAAGAAAATGATTGAATTTAATAATAATTTTACAGTTGATATGAATGACTCAAATAATTAATTTCAATGAAATTGATGCCAATCTTCGTTCCCTTATCTCTATCTTTACTGAACTGTAAGCCCGGGAATCGATACCAACTGAAGAAACCACTCTTTATTGCAGTCACGGGTTCACTGAATGTCAGTAATAATGTGTGGACTTTACCCGGAGTTATGGATGACATCGTCCTTATAAATGTCATATTTGTATCCTTTTGTAAACCATGATCAGCGCCTATATTGATAGCTACCTGTCCACTCGCACCGGCTTCCGAATCGGAGGTCACATGGATTGCAATCTGATAGTGAAATACTGTCTTATAATTAGTCATTTGTCACTCAAATAGTTGGTCTAAATTGAGTGAAATTATGATTTAATTACAACAAAATGGATGACTGCCCGCAGTATTCAAATAAAGTTTGTGTCCCTTTCCTCCAGAATAGTTTCGATTAATAGGTGTTTCCCTCCACTCTACCGGATACAGACCCATGAGTTGACACTTAGTTATGTTATTGGCATCGGCCTCACAGTTACCACACCGGCCCTCAACAAAAATTTCATACGAATCGCACTCATAGCCCACCGGTTGACACAAACTGTTGGGTTTATCTGTGATTAAGTGATTTTATTTGTTAACAATTTAAATATAATTTATGCGTTAATTAAATCAAACCCAATGAATATCCCAATTCATAAGCCCTGCAATGAGAACATGAGAGGGTGGCACTGCCTTGTAATAAACTGACCACTATATTAGTTTTGGAACAACCTGGCTGTTCGTGAAATTATACATTATAAGAATTTAAACACTAGAGTACTTAACTGTATTAGAATTATGAGAATACCTGGCTAAAGCCTCCATTGGGATAAAAGTCGACATCACCTATAGTTTCATTGAGTCCTAAACCCGTAAGAATAAAGTTAGACATATCCGCATGAATTACATCCACTTCCTTGGCGTCAGTATAGGCCAGTCTTATATTAGTGCTGTTGGCAGCAAATCCCGGCCCTATTGTGCAAAATAAGTATTAAATTACATTAAATTTATAATTTTTTGTAATAAAAGTAAATGAATAGTAACCAGCGGGGTCGAGGCCTGTAATTCTGGACAGTTGTGGATTAATAAGTCTTTTGCCCGCAAAGCCGACTACCTGTCCACCCAGACTATGTCCAACCAAATAGAAATTATCATTTGTTATGACTTTCCGTCCGTACGTTTGCTCACAGATACGGTTCACGAAGAATGCAATCATAGCCCCAACCACTTGAGTATTGGCCGCCGCCAGTGAATAGTCCGTTATTTTGGCCCCTATTTTGCAAGTTCATTCAATTGTGAGAATCTTATAATTTAGTAACTTTTTAAAAATATTAAATTCAATACCCTTTTCCCAATCCACCAAAATAATATTATATTCATTCTGTGGTGCTTTCATTCCATACAAACTGTTTTTCATGTCCTAAAAATTAATTTATAGTTATAATTACAAGTAATTTAAATAATTGGATTAAATTAGCTGACAATCATCCACTGTTCAAGACCACTTTCCCATCCGTGGACAATAACTATGGTCTGATGATTAGGATTAAATGTGGTGTCTTTGAATTTCTTGGGATTAAACTTATACCCGAATATAATCGAGTGATTGCGTGATTCAGATGTGTACAGGTAGAATTTGGGGGCAATTTGCGAGGGACTCATGGGTAGTATGGCAAAGTGCCCGATCTTTGCATCGTAAAAATTCATGGCTGAAAAGCACCCGATGTCGTCCCAACACTTTGTGCCCAAAGCACCTGTAGGTGACAATTAGTAACAACTAGTAATTAAATATAAGAATTACTGGAGAATATCAAAACAAAGTCAAACACTTACTGTTGACTATAGGAATAAGTCCAATGATTTGTTGGGTTTTACCAAACAGACCGTCCGCTTTGGTTCGGGGTAATAGTGAACTCGCTTTTACATTGTAAGTACTGTGCGTCTCATTTATCTTTTTGGACTGTAATTTGTAAAACTTTTAATTAAAATGGTGTTTTGAATAGTTTGGTTGAATACTCACTTCAATCACTTCATACTCATTCATATGAGATATGAGACCTTTTTTCTTAGGACTCGCCATTTGATGTGTTTTATTATAGCGTTTAAACTATTGGTATAATTCATTATAAACTATAATTAACTGAATGATTGATTTTCACTTATATTTCTTACATTAAGGTACGGGTGCTCTGTTGTCAGTACCGCCTGAAGTGGCTTGTCTTCAGCTTCTGTAACACATTCTGTGGAAACTTCTGTATCACCTCCTATTCCTCCACTATCTTCTTCTGTGGTACCGGAATCTCCGTCTTCTTCATTACTATTAATACTTTGGTTGCAATAAAGTAACAAAACTAATAATAATATGAGATATTTATACATAATTAACAGTATTTTTATAAACTATGAAATTTTGAGTCCCATATGGGAACTAATTATCGGATTTTATAAATGCAAATTATAAGATAATAAATAAAATTATTATAAATTTATAACAAAATATTTAATTTATAAATAATAATAAAATGTTATATTATTTTTAATATTTTTAATGTCAATGTTGTTTATCTAATACTTTTTTACATTATTTTAGTAACAAATTTCATCAGATAAATATAAGGTATACTCAAACAACATTATATAATTCTCAAACAATTTATCAAAATATCCAGCACACTTTATATATTTCTGACAATTAGTAATTTTATATCTTTTAACCAAAAATAGTCCGAGATTTAGGTTTAGCAGTCGTTGCCGTTGTTTTTTCTGCTGAAATTTTCTTGAGTTTGTTGTCCAATGGGAACCGATCGTCATAATCAACAGATGTTATGTCATAAGTGTTTGTAAACGGCATTAAATCCACTGAAGACATCTGAAGAGCCGATTTAGTCAACCCATCCGTACTCTCACATAATTGAAAGTATAGAGTGGGACCGTCGGGTGCTATGGGATGGTTATCAATGGGACACAATAGCGCTGACATGTCTTTTCGTATTCTACAGAATCGATTCAATACAATGAA